CGTTCGTTTCCACATCCGCCACATGCCCCTCCAGCAGACAGCCCCGCTCTGTCGATTTTTTCACCGATGTGAGTGGTTTGTTTGTTTTGACGTTTTCTCTGCAGTATCATAGGTTTCTTCGAAAAAGTACTCTCTTAATGGCTTCGCTGTTTTTTTGGGACACCGTCACCCCTTAGGGTATGGAAATTGATTCTATTCTGGAGACTTTTGCGAATTCATGTTCTTGTTTTTAATTAGCAAGTTGAAGTTAAGTTGTCCAGGTCCCTCGGCGGTCACTCTGAAGCTGCAAACAGTACAATATCACAAGTTTACGATCCAGTCCATCAGATGATTACTCCAAGGTCGGTCAATATTATATTTTCTCGAAGATTAATCCTCACGATGAGCATTTTGATGTAAAGTTTCTTTGGAGCTGATAGTAAGTGTTATATAGAGTAGAGGCAGCAATGCAAACTCTTCCTATAATGCCGTTGTTCCTCTATCCTTCCTACATATAGGGCTCCCCTTCTCTTCGATCTTGTGATCTGTTTTATTGATCCTACTCCCTGGAATTTTTTCTGTGACTGAACTGCCTTCTGCTCCGTATCTCTAGACTGAGTGTCTCAGTACATCCCATAAGCAATAGCTATTTAATGGCGTTTTCTACCAGTGATTATCGTGCGGTCCTATTCGTAATTTTTAAATTCGTTTTACAGAATACAAGTGTTCAGCCGGGAGCTTCAACGCCAGCCGGATTTTGATTTATTATTGGCTGAGTTATGCCTTGATCACGTCTGGACTGAACCTTCGAAAAGAGACGTTAGTGGAGAAATAGCCTCTAAGGTATAGTATTTGTTATTTGGAAATAGTCTCCAGTTTGCGAAGTAATGGTTATTATTTTATTTCCCATCATATTTCACTCCAGATGTTCCTTTCTCACAATGTGCTTTCGCAAGATTTTGTGAATTTCTTCGTTGGAACTGTTAACCAGCTGCGATCGATTCGAGCCGTTCACACTGTAGGTAATATTACCACGTCTGGATCGATGAACATACTGCTTTGTCGAGATGGGGTGGCAATGCGCTTGGTGGCAATTAGCGGTTAAGGGCTTTTGCCTGTTTTTTTTCGTTTCACTTTTTACAACTATTTTCTGCTTATCGAATTTTCTTTTCCGTGCCCAATTTCTAATTGAAATCCTTTTACCATTCGATGCTAAATACAAAGTTATCAAACGTTTTCTCCATAGCTCATGGCAAGACCTCTACACTCTTTTGCTGTTTTTATGCGTAGTCAGCTTTTGAGCTTCAAGAGCAGCCTATGACCAGTGCTGGAGACTTCACTGAGGGGTTGTCACTCTGAATGCAGCCGTTTGCTCTCTGAATTAGGGGCGAATTCAGATCCCTTTAATTCTTGTTAGATTGAATGCTTGTCGCCTCTCCGAAAGGTCGCTTCAACTTTCAACTTTCTGCTAAGCTAGCACAACTCGCAGTTTCCAGGTTGTTATCTCGATCACGACGTCTACGGCTTACTAGAACTCTGTCTTTTGATGAAACATTATAATTTAAGCTGCGCTTGTTTGAGCCCCTTCATGAATACAGCGACCTCCTCGCTATTTCAAACTTTCACTACAAGAAAAAATAGCTCACACAACTTCATGAATCGCTATTATTCCTCCTAACTGACGTGTCTCTCGTGTGGCATCGTTGGAAGTAGCAATATTCGCCGTTCTTTGTCACTTGTATGTTTCCCCGCTTGCACTTGTCCTCCGTTTATCTGCCGATTCTATCCAGTTTTTCCCGGTTTACGAGCTGTCTCGCGGCCGAATTATGAAGATATGTAGAGAACTCTGCCAATTCGGGAAACCCGCTTTGTTGTTGTGGGCAGGCCTCCGCTTCACTTCAAGTGCGCTTTGTACATCTTATCTGTTGTTCTACGACTTAAGCTCGTGTTCTGCTTCGCAGACATTATTAACGAGCCGTTTACATTTTTTAAAGAAAGTACCGCCATTCATACTTCACCCACCGTGGCTCCAATTTGCGACCTGGGAACGCGATGCACACCTTATACATATTTTCCCGGCGGTCCCTGGGCTATTTTGAAAAGTTTACCTTCTGCATCATTCCATTTCGGCACATGCTACCCTCATCATAGATGGCGCTCCACTTGACTGATCTGTGTTTCGTTCATGTGGACCCATGGCAGAGCCGTGTCGAACTTGACCGGTGTCTCCAGATAATATCTAAGGTAGTGGCGAAGTTCGAGAAAAGGACACGCTCGATTTAAATTGTTGTTCGAGTAATATTTGGCATGCCGTTCTCTGTATTTCAGGATGGTGATTTGACAGTTGTATTAGAGATGGACAATTCGGTTGGCCTCTTACTCTGGACATACACGATGCGCCGTCGCAGTTATTTCTAGGGTAAAGTGTGATTAAGATACCACATATGTTTGAGCAGTTGAGGATAATTCAAGTGCTTGATGCGATTCCTTTTCAGTTCACTATTACTCCGTCGATGTTACTTCATTCAGCCGGAAATTCATCCTTTGTAATACAGCACGAAAATAAGCTGACAAAAACGGTAGAGCTGACGAGAGTCATACTACCACCAGTGTTCATCAACTCTTTAGGTTTGTTATCACATTTAAGAATTTTTTAGGTGTTTTGGTTGTAGTTGTAGTAATTTTTTGGGTTCTGGAGTGTTTGACTAGGGCTTTCACTATTAGGTAATAATTCGAAAAACATTTCCTAAAAATCTCTGTCTTCCTCAGAAAGCTGGTTTTGCGATCATCTCCTTGATCTTTGCCGTGGTATGAGTCCTTACTGACTCATACTTCAAACTATGAAATTGTGGGAAGTTATTTTCTATGCATCTCTTAGTTGAGTAGGATCAATCATCTAATCCAGTCTCTTACCATTGGTGCCTACCATATTCTTTTCTTCAGTGGATTAAGTTCTGTCCTTTTTACAGCCCGAGATGTGTTTGCGGCTGTGGTGGATGTATTGCCTCGCGAGAAAGCCGTCCGTCTTATGTTGGATTGGAAGACTAATAATCGTAATTATGAGAATGAACTCGAAATGGCGGTGGCGGAACCTCAGCTGCACACGGCTATACGATTTCTATTAGAGCAGACTGGAGTTATAATAGAAGAACATGAGAGGCTACCATGGCGGAAGGTGATCTCAATTTCACCGCTTTTATTTTTTGACCTAGACTATCGTGAGATTTTAGTTTCCGAATTCCACACTATATTCGGGAAATTTCGCTTCACCAATAGTCTTTCGTTGCTCCTCCTCGAAAATTACCCTTTTGCGGTTCATATTATCTTTTTATGTCTTCTTAACTTTAATCATCACATCACTATTTTCCCTTCTGTGGGTCACTTCGTATTCCATCTGGGTTATTCTGAAAATTATTGCTTCTATTTTAAGAGAACTAATACCAACGAAGATTGTGAAACTGACGCAAAACAAAGGCGGCCAAAAGCTTCTGCAGAAGAGGTTAGTCGGTTAAAATAAGACAGCGAACCTAAAATCGTGATGTTCGATTAGATATTAGGTAAAACTCAGTGATGTTTGTTCACAAGTACATTTGCAAAAGGGCTGACGAGAGTGGGATTCGAACCCACGCCCCCGAAGGGACTGGTGCCTTAAACCAGCGCCTTAGACCGCTCGGCCATCTCGCCACGGGCTTGGCAATGGCAGGCGCATTCATGATTCAGACCGCGTTAGAACTTGGTTCCAACTTTATAAAGCAAATGTAGATGATGATCCTTATTATGTTTCATGAAGTCTTATTTAGAGTGTTTTCTATTCCACTTGAATCATAATAATTATCGTCGCTTTATTTGGCTAGTTTTTGGAATTGTCTTTCGACTGTTTTACCATCAGTCTCTTCTGGCTCGCCCTCTCGTAAAATAAGGATAAAAGGATAAAGCATTTGCCGTTGATCAATCCCTTTTTGGGATGCGGCACGCATTCTACTTCCATTTGTACATTCGTAGTGGCGTTTGAATGCGATGTGGCCTATACAATGACTTGCGGGGGCCAGCCGATGTACAAGTCAGTGTTTTTATCCTCCCAGACAAGTCTGGTACCAATTAACCGACCCCGGAGGGATGGAAGGCTTGGTTGGCCCGGGCGACTCACGACCCAGGATTTGATCCCCGGACCGCTCGCGTGGTAAGCGTGCCACTTGCCACTACACTTCCCACCGCCTCCCTAAAATCAAAAGCCTTAAAATAAGGATACACCGAGTTGTTTGAATGTCTGCTCAACAACATTAAAAAACGATCAAAAGTCTACTGAATGTTTTGGAATCAGCTAATGCTCTCCAGTCATTATGATGCAGCGCCGAAACTCTTTTAATATCGCTTTTCAATTTCAGGCGATTATTTTATGCCCATTTTATTGATTGATTCTATACTTTTTCGATCCCTTTCTTCTACATTCTCAACGTATCAGCTCACTTTTTGTGTCAAGCTCTTATATTCTATTAGGTTTTTGTTTACAACTCCTGACCGGTAATATATCTATCATGAGTGTCCACCACTTGTCTTCAACGCTCAGAAAATTTCCTGATGCGCCTTTTCCAAAACCCAGCGGAGTGCGGGTCAAGAAAGGAGGCGACCTCACTTCCGAGTTGGAGTTGATCGTCTAATTATTTCGTCATCAAGATGATGATTTAAGGTCCAGGATAGGTAGCAGTCATTTACAGCTCGACCAGGGGATTACGCTAAGAGAGGTAAGAAATCTTGCCGCAACTCCAGAATTTCTTACCGGGCTCATTTCGGATCATGGTGATTCGCAATGTCATGAAAGAAATGAATATTGTCGCGGTACGAGGGCTCTTGACGAGCTGCCTCGGCCAGCTTCTGGTATTCCACAGCCTAGGCCTCTACCTACACAATGGTGCCCATAACGAAGGGTATGTAGTGGAGCTTCTGTAAGAGCCCTACCTGTAATGGAGTGAGAGGGACGCTGCTGGCTTATAAAAATATCAAAAGATCGGAAGCGCTGGTAAAGCTGAAACACGCTGTAGCGGTGAACGACATGCCTTTTGAAGCTATTGCAGATAGTGTTGGTCTTGACACGAATCCATAGTTATGTAGACATTTGTACTAGACAGTGACTCGGAGTGTGGATTTACTAGTGGTCGAGGTTTTTTGAATTTTCTTGGATAACTACTGACTGCAGCACTTATATCCACCTCGTGGATTAAAGCCTCGAGAATGCTCTACCATTTGTTAGTCATAAATGTTACCTATGAATTTTTCAGAAAAAAAGAAAATTTTAGAAAGAGTGTTGCAGAACTTTCTTTCCAACCTAATATTTAGTTAATATCATCTTCATCTTAGCTTACTATTTCTGATCATATCAATGTCACAGTTATTCTAAAATCTCAAGTCTTCGCCAACTACTGGTGTTTACACTAGTGAACTTGTTAAGCAAAAGGGCTGACGAGAGTGGGATTCGAACCCACGCCCCCGAAGGGACTGGTGCCTTAAACCAGCGCCTTAGACCGCTCGGCCATCTCGCCACGTTGTCATGGGCAGCAGGTGCCATTGATCGAACGATGTAAAGTAGCGGAGCAGATCAAAAGAGCATTCATTCCGTTTTCCTTCATCCATTGGAAGAGCTATGGGAAGGTTATTGACAGCCTCGATAACATCAAACCCTTCTCTTCGTGACATTTCAAATGATCATTTTTTTTTCTTGGACACTTCCGTGGCCGGTTGTATGCATTGTAGGCTGGGAAGATTGCTTAATTGTTATTCTGAACTAAAAAAGGAAGTTCATGCCCTTTCATTACATTGACTGCCTTTGGCATTATCCACATCAGACGGATTCACGCGATCTTCTTCTTCTTCTTCGTCTTCCTAGCTTCGATCTCCACGTGTCGCAGGATCCGCTCTTATCTCGTTTGAATTAGAGTTTCCCTTTGTCTTGCACAAGGCATCTTCTGCCGTGGCCCTGACTTCAGTGAGATCCTTATCCATGACGTCCCTCCATCTTTTTTTTCGATGCTCTTAGTGGTTACTTTCTCTGAGTTTCGACCATCGCTTTTCCTTATCGAGTAATCCTGCCTTAGCACATGTCCACACCATCCAGACACTGTTCCCGCACCTTGAAGAGGCAGCCTGACATCCTCGTTCTTACCCGGTCCAGCCGTATCCAGCCACGGGCCCATCTCAGTATTTTCATCTCAGCGGATTGAAGCTGCCTCATGATTCTTGTTTAGGGGCCAGCACTCACTCCTAAGGTATTGGAAGTCTCCCACTCTTCCGATGCTTCACTCCTGTCCGTCCACGATTTGTTCTGTACCTGCTTCAGAGTTCAGGCATTTGATTTCTTCGATGCTGAACAGTGCCCCATTTTCTGCCAGCACTTCCTGCCACTTCTGTGCTATCCACTGTTCTGGCTGTCATCTGTGTAAAGAATGGTCCTCATGCTCCTTCTATGAGCCCCTTCATCAGGGCATAACGTGTCAGAGAAATGGGCTCAGAGCCAATCTTCAGTTGTACTCACCGAGATGCTTTACTTTCTGGTGGCCATCGTATGGGGCATGTTCTGCCTTAGCCCCATCATACAGCCCCTTCATTAGGGTGATCACATGTTTCGGTACGTTCTTTGTGCGCCCTCTGGAGTAGTGGTCGTGGTAGACGCTCGAACGCCTCTCCAGATGAAGGAAAGCCCTAGTTAGCAGCATCGGCGCTTTTATCAAACTTCTTATCATTTGCCTAGCGATGAAGATAGCGTCCGTCGTTGAACAGTTCCTGGGAAAGTGGGACAGCTTTTGCGGCTTCGAGTCGATCACTCGTTCGTACAAATTCATGTTATACGTGGTAGACCTGATGCCGCAGTAGTTGCAGCAGTCTTTTGCGTCATCCTTTTGTTTGAAGATGAGGGGACAACATGATGCTTTGTGTTCTCCAGGCGGCCGGCTCCCCTTCTGCAGTCTCAGTGATAAGGAATAAGGAATCGTGTTAGCTATTTTATCCTGTACTCTCCAAGCGCTTTCCATGCTTCTATGTACCCCATTTGAACCCACCCCTTTTCACCTGTCACGTTCCGTATTCCCTGTCAAACGTCATCTTGGGTCCAAAGTGCGATGAGATCAGCCATCTCCTCCAATCGTAGGTTCTCCTTGTGGGGGAACTCCTCGTTCAAAAGAAGTGCCGTTGTTGCTCTGTAAACTCTTCATTATCCTGATAAGTTGTGTACTCCAGTGTCGAGCAGCCACTTTGTAGACGAACTCCTTTACACTTCAACTTTCCAACTTTTCGTACAGGAGGTCCGTCTCTTTGACTCGCCTTGTCGGCAGGTAGCTCGCTTGTATGCCTCATTCTTCCGCTTTGCGACACCCTGGACTTCCTCGTTCCAGAACCACGCTGCCTTGTCTCCTCTGAATCCACCTCGCGTCTCGCCCAGTACCTCCTTGGCGCATCGTAGGATGATCTCAGCTGCAGTGCCCCAAGTCTGCTGCACTGGTCCCTCAGGATCTGGGAGACCAACTTCCATTATCCTTCGCTTGAGGTCATCTTCTCTGCTTGGTGCAGCTTCCACCGTATTCTCCTCTCGGTTCTTAGCTTTGCCTTTTTGAAGAGGTCCATGGCCATTCACCTGGGGGGTCCTTTGCGCGTATCCAGTTCTTTTAGTGGAAGTTCCTTTGTGTTTTTTTTATCGTTTTGTAAGATTTTTTTTACATGCACAGAGTCGATTTCCGTGTGTCCCCATCACTGCTGTAAGTGACCTTCTGGGCCTCCCCTTCGCGACGAACCGGCTGCAGGCCGCCAGATGAACTGCGGCCAGGTCTAGAATTCTTTTTCTCTCTGTCCTCCTTACACTATCCCTCTTCCTCCGAGAACTTTTTCTTTTTCACTTACTATAGCTAGATAGTTTTCTTGAATCCTAGTTAACTCATCACTCTCACATGACCTGTTATCATGAAGGGTGTGATCTTTGGAAGAAAGCATTTGAAAAAACGCGTAAAGTAGCACTCACGAAGAGAATGTTTTGTTTTGCCTTTCTGTCATATG